CCAGTTCCTAGCTCTGCACAGAAGCCTTCTACTCAAGACTCAGATGTTTCCTGAAAATATGAAAATTAGTTTCATACTTAAAGCTAATCACTATTCTCAAACCCAACTTCTCAAAACAAAGGGAGAGAAAATACTAGAATTCTGCAACTGCCTTATGCATATGCAAATAAAAGAAAAATCACACATACATGCAAATAAAAGAAAAATCACACATACAAGTTGCGTTTGCTCTTCGCCCATGAGGCGGGTTGCTAGAAAGTGAGCACGAGGGAGAACATGAATAAAACTGGAGTAAGGTTTAGAGAACGGAGGATATATGCAAGCATTTTAAAGTAGATTTATAAAGAGAATAAATTGCGTAAGAAAAAGAAGAAAACAAAAAAAGAATATGATTTAATTTCAACAGTATTTCTAAACCGTATATGTTAACACCACAGCCATGAAATATTCTGCCTAACCTGAAAATGAATCAACTCCCACAGAGCTATTCACACAGTTTCTCAACAGCTTTATAAATTATCCATCAATTGGGAATTAATGACATTCTTCCCACTTCAAAGATAGGTGACCAGTTCAGAGAACCAGTGCAATACAGACCTCCTTCTCAGTGGTAGTTCAATCATATAAACAGCAATAAACATTTTTTTCCCCCTAAAACTAGTATTTAGTAACTAACACTTGCTAAGTTTAAGTGCTCACCTATAACAGACAAATATCCACCCTGCAAACCTCCCCCCATCAAATTTGATTTTTTTTTTTTAATATTTGCCAAGGGGCCCAGTATGAGGTATCTTCTACTAAAGCTTTTTCTACGGACTAAGAATAAGACCCATTACCAAGAAACTGCAAAGAAACTAATGCTGCAGCTAAGCTTGAAAGTAAATAAAGGGCTACAGGTGACAAAGCTGTCAAATGTGGCAACTTTATCAAGATGAAATGTGCTTAAATAGAAAATAACCACTCTGAAACAGAATGTACTTAAAAACCTGACAGCTAGTTAAACATACCCAAAACTATTACAAATATCATATTCCTATCAACATCAAAACAACTGGTATCATCTTGGATATCAGGCATTTAATATTGCATTAAACAAAGTATCCATCTTAACAAATAATAATTTTAAGAAGTTTACTTAACCCCCAGAAATTGCTTTTCCTAATGATCTTTAAGTCTCAAGAGCAAACTAGGAAATATTTATAGCGCGTCCACAACTACCCCAAGGTTAATACCTTCACTGCATTGTCCTTAATAGTTTTTGCTTGAAGAATAAATAAAATATTTCCTAGATACAAAAAAGTTCAAAATCAGAGGATGTATGAAGGTTTAGTTATCATTCCCATTCTTTTTTCAGTCATCATTGACGTTCTTACCAGTATTCATACCCAAAAGCAAACATGATTTTGCCTATATTCTGACCAGGAAAAAAAAATGAATACAGCAGACAGGGCAACAATCTCTTAACTTCCAACAAACATCAAGTTTTGGGGAACTTAGTGCCATAAGAAAGAACTTTTTCTTCACGCCCGTGAGTTCATTCCAAACGCCCGTTACGCCAACCCATTCAACAGGGCACGGTCTCGCTTCTCGCCACTTTCAAGCTCCGGGGTACCCAAAGAGGCAGATCCGTAGCAGCCAACCAGGACCCCGTTCGCACTAGCTCGTCACCGGCCGCGCGTGGCCTCCGGGCGCCGTCATCGCTGCAGGCCAGCCCCGCGCCCGCCGCGCCAGCTCCGCT